AAAAGAAGCAATAACATCGGAAAGAAAGAATTGGTCAGATTCATCACCGGTGATAGTGGAAACACGAGAAAGTTGCACGTGTGAACCTGTTATCGACGATTCGATTTCGAAAGAAATGGTGAGACTAGCTCAAGAGAATAATTTAAAGACCTGCAGATGACCAATATCGGATCAGTATGGCGAATTTTATTTCTTCCGTTTTTGCGGGACAGAACTGTTTGTTATGAATAATCAAGAGTGATCTCCCCTTGTTTTATTGCTCCCCTCTTTGAGAGAACTATTTCTGTTTACTGGGACTGTAAAAGTACACTATACGCGAACTTTGTATTCTCAGTTGAATAAAGCATTCTTAAAGCTTACATCTGTGTACTTTTGTCATTACACTATTCCTTTCTTCTAAGACCACTAACATATTAGCAACATATAGGGCAGGTTGATTTTTCATTTTTCTTTAAAAAACCAACATTGCACTAATTGTAAAAGATGAGGTTTGAGGTATTAAGTAATGCTACGAATAATTAGATTTACCATTTTTTGAGCATTTAGTTTTAAAGATAGTCTCAAAATTGATATTTGATATTTTTGTATTAGATACATTGAATGGAAAATATATCGAATTCGAAATTCTAATTATGAATCACCACAAGCAAAATATGCGATATTTTTTACTGTATTCGACAAGTAAAAACGGTTAAAAATTGTAAAAGAAACAAACTTTGTAAATTATATATATGAAGATTTGAGTATTTGAATATTTATTTGAAAATTTGAAGAATAAAAATTTATAACTTTGTTGTAAAAAACGGTAAAAAATTGTAAATGATTACAAAAAGGCTACACAATAAATACGATTTATTGTGTTGTGTGTGCCATAATTCTTGTTTGTCTATGTGGGTTATGGTGCATGTTATGATAATTAAGAGTGATCTCCCCTTGTTTTGTTACTATCTTCTTTAAGAGAGCTATTTCTGTTTACAGGGACTATAAAAGGACATTAACTGCGAACCTTGTATTTTCAGTTGAATAAAGCTTTCTTAAAGACTAAACCTGCGTACTTTTGTCATTACAATGCACATGTAAGTGTGTGTGTGTAGTAGTAATAGTGGAAGTAGTAGGTATTTTATCTATGTTTTTTGATTTTCCGCATGTTGATTTACGGATGATTTGTATAAGGGTGAAAAATTTAAGTTACCCCAATTGTGGTAGAAGGTGGATATATTCTAGACTCTTTAAATATAAATTCTATAAAAGTTGGTAATATATTAAAGTGTGTTTGACGTGTGTTTATATGTGGCATAATATTTATCCGAACTCCTTGAAAGTATTTCCTGAGAAAATAATTATGTTCTTCCCTAATTAGGGTGACATTTATAAAATCGAAGTACACCCCTACACACGCATGCATATATATATATATATATATATATATATATATATATATATATATATATATATAAAATAGAAAACATAGAAATCAACACTCAGAGGCGACAGTCTGTTTCATGCTAGACACAATCGTCAGGCCACCTGACGTTTGCGTCTAGCATGAAACAGACTGTCGCCTCTAAGTGTTGACTTCTATGTTCACTTATATATATATATATATATATATATATATATATATATATATATATATATAGTGTAACCCGGATATAAGAGAGTTGTCGGGACCGGAGAAGAAGTCTCTTATATCCGGGTTTCTCTTATATCCGGTTTGGTCTATTTTGTTTAGGTAAGTATGGGCTCTAATTTGGGACCAGAGAAAATCTCTCTTATATCCGGGTTTCTCATATACGGGTCTCTTATATCCGGGTTACACTGTATATATATTGGGCGCGTCGAGGCGGTTTAATGGTTAGCAAGCTTGTCTCTCGCTAGAAGAATTAACACTGAGTAATAAGTTCGATCGTCACTGGGTGCCCCTTCTTTCGGCCTTGTGCCACATTTACTATAGCTCGGAAAATATATATATATATATATATATATATATATATATATATATATATATATATATATATATATATATACACACAAATGTAATAGAACGAAAAGAATAAAAATTCAAACGTTCATATCAATTTAAAATGGGCTCAATACAAGATTAGAGTCATAAATATTTATTATATACTGTTACATTAGAACATGCAAGTTCTAATGTAACAGTAAATATATATATATATATATATATATATATATATATATATATATATATATATGTAATCAAGTTTCGTTAAAAGCGACTGTTATGGTACTGGGGTTAATTTGATATAACCTTTCATGTGTTCTTACAATTTTTTTCCTTTTCAGGACATAAATTTTTTCCGAATGCTTATACCTCATGATACGTACATAAAATAATGCATATATTCAGTTAAAATTAAAATAAAATTCGTCCTTGATAATGACTAAAATATAGCGGAAAGCGCTTGGAAAACATTCGGACGATTTTTATATAATTTATGTTCTGTAGATAAATATAAGAACACATTTAAATATTATATAGAAACTTGTCTGTGGTTTTTAACGAAACTCGTATAAAAGAGGATTTGCTTCCCAATATATACATATACATATATGTTATGATCCGGTTCCTTGTACCACGGTGATAGTCCAAGGTAGAACCAATAAAGAAGAACTCGAACACGGATGTGGAATAACACAGATATATTACAAACAGGAATATATACAGAGAAGTAGAAAATGTTAGTACGAACAATCAGGTTTAGTAGTAATTGTCTGAACGACTCTGTTTCGGAATGCCTCTGACTCGACTGACTGACTCGCTCGCTCTGACAGACTCCTGACGGATCTCATTCCAGACTTCATACTGACCTCCCTGCTTCCTCTTGCGGCGCAGTATTTATTACGTATGGAATATTCCATTATGTTATTATGGGTAAGGTCCCATAACAATACACACACACACACACACACACACACACACACACACATATATATATATATATATATATATATATATATATATATATATAGTCATCTAGAGACAACTGTTTCTCATCATTGTGGCTAGACGTCCGGTTGCCTCAAGCAAGGTTCGTAACCAGGCTGAATTGGCGTCAGTCGAAGAATCTACCCCTAAGCCGTTGGCTCACGGCAGGGATGAAGGTGAATTTAAGCGTATTCATTTTTAGATAAACACGACAGTGACTGAGAGAACTCTATTCGTTTTATCGAAGAGTATTGCATTAGTAGCAGTAGTAGTCATTGTTTACAAACTCATACTTTCTTCCCCGAGAGCTCAGCCGAAATGATTTTTCAGGAGCTTATTCGAACTGGAAGCTCCAATTTCTCATTCCGAGATGCTATCCATCGACACATCCAATTCGAATTCCAATCGATTTCCTTATATCTATGCGCAAATATCCTTGAGAAAGTTATGGAACATTCGCTTCATCTTCACTAGCTACTGATTAAATAGTAAGGCAGACTGGTGTTTTTAGACTTGATTGGTAACCAGTCTAGGAATTCAGAATCCTGAGGAGGGTACTTTGTAGACCATGTGATACATTATGCGTACTTGTTCTCTGTTTTAAATCCTTCCGAAAGACGTGGCTGGTTCTGCACAAGCCATCAACATTATAATCAAATCATATCTGCGGGGAGTCTGGTTGTTCGGTCCTAAGAACTGCATTACTGTAATCTAATAGGTCTAAAATGACAGGAGAGTCCAGTATATATCGGATGTAACAACAAAACTGCCCAAATCGTGTAACAGAAAAATTGTCCAATTGTTACGTTAAACTCTCAACCGTTGTATCTTAGAAATGATTAAAGTTATCTTACTGGAATTCTCCAAGGTTTTTATGACACTCTACTTTGAGCAATAAGACAATGTAAAGAATTGTGATGAAATCGATCATAAACAAAAATGACATGATCATCATTAATTAATCGTAGCTATGGATTGGAAGCTTATGAAGGATTGTAATAAAGGTCAAATACATATATATTATTACCAGAGTATAGAGGAACCTATCTTTAAGAAAAAAAGGGAAGTTTTTCTTTACCAACGCGTTTCGTCCCCTGAGGCAAATGTGGAGATTTCATTTTCTAACTTGTATTTTTACACAGAAGTAGACAGTGTAGTGAAAATATCGTTAAGTTTTCAAATTTTAAATTCATGGACACTTCTCAGGCGAATGCTCAAGAAGAACCCAGATTTCCTCTTGGCTACTTTTTTCCAGTTAAAATCTGAAATGTACTATGAACGACACAATGTGGGATAGAAGAGGCAATAAACTAATTCTAGAGGCAGTTTTCTACTATCCAACCGTTTGGTTGGTTGATTAATAATTGATATCGGTGAACACCGATATCAATTATTAGTCAACCAACCAAACGGTTGGATAGTAGAAAACCGCCTCTAGAATTAGTTTAAATGGAAATTACCTTTTTTATTTACACAATAACCGTATCATGATTTCACGAACACAATTATTTCATAAAACAATTTTTAAACTTTTCATTTCATTTTCCCTCTTCCATCACAAACACTTCCACCACACTTTATTACCGAAAATAATTTCTCTAAATCGCAAGGATATATGGCAAAAAAAATTATTTAAATGTCGATTCCTGCTGATCAGGGATTAGATGTAGTACAAAGAAAGCTAACTTTAAATTATAAATGTTGATGTTTCGCTAATTGCTGAGTAGTCATCTCTTGCTTGTTTGTATATTTATTTATACACCATAGAAAACAAAACTTGAAAAACTTATTAACAACGAATCCCTTTGAAAATGGCTAATGAACTTGCCGAAATCGCCTGGGACTATTATCATTATGGACAATTTCTGCACTTGTTTAACCCCACCTCGAAAGGAAAACTAAGAGCATTAGAAAAAATCAATTAAATATGTTTATTTATTTATTTGAAGGTAACTGCCATATACATTCTATATATAGCAAATAATTTGATATCGAACAGTTTTCGCTGTCTTTTAAACAATTAATAATAATAATGTGAAACAAATGAGGCTTACGGCCAAATCACGTTGAAACATCGGTTCCCGTACGATCACCGATGTTAAGCAACGTCGAGTAAGTTCAGTACCTACATGGATGACCGCTTGGGAATGGCAGGTGCCGTAAGTTTGGATGTGCGGTTGGTGTAATGGATAATGGCTTGGAATTGAAAATCGGGGAGCCGAGATCCAATTCCAGTTGGAGCTGTTACATTCACTTACGCGAAAATATTCTTAGATAAGGCACGAATCCACCCCTTCTCTCCCAACTATGGATTAATTAGTAGAATTTGTATCAATAAACATCATTATTATCTAAAAAAATCTGACAATCTAAAAGTATTTTCATACTTTAATTAGGCAGCAAAAGGTTGATAAGCCGTAAAAACATTATATTTACTTATGCGCAAATACCATTGGGGAGGGTGTAAGTCCACCTCTTCTCCCTAGCTATGGATTAATTAGTAGAATTTATATCAGTAAACATTATTATTATTATCTAAAAAAAAACACTTCTTACAATCCAAAAATATTTCCATGATTTAAACAACCGACAAAAGGTTGATAAACCGTAAAAAACAAATCACTCACAAATTTGAAACAAAACAAGACAATACTGGACATGGCTATCAATACAGAGAGAACTACCCCTATCCAGCAACCACATATGGCATGCGATGATGATGAAGGAGAGACATGCTTTGTTTCTAATGTTTTACAACATAAATTAATTCCAGATGAAGTTTCATACTATTTAAACTTTGTTCTGCCTTGACTGGCTGACTCATAATTGCTGAGTTCAAATTCCAGTTGAAACCATTTTGTCGATTATTTAAAACATGGAAAGATTTTTGGATCGTAACTAGTTTTTTTGAGATAATAATGATGTTTACTGATACAAATTCTACTTGGGAAAGGTATGAATTCTCTTCTTCTTCCCCTCCCCCAGCTATGGGTAAATAATAGGATAGACTGGGTTCTATAACCTTGGATGGCAACCGATTTAGGAGATGGAAAATCCTTGAATTCAAAACCATCCTGTCAAGGGTTGTACTTCGTCAGGCTATCTTTCCCAAGATGCACCACTTCTGCTGTGGATGCAGTACAAATGGTGCCCCTCACGGATAAAAAATATATATATATATATAAACTGTATTTTCTTGACTGTTAACATATTTATGTCAATCTTTTGGTATATTGTCTGGAGTTACTTTCGTTTCTTTTGAAACCTGCCTGGTCGACAGTTTTTTTTTCTCATACTCTAAAGTGCTGAACAAAAGTCAGCTCAATTGCTTGTCTTGATATCCATACATATATACATAAATAATCGGCCATTTTTTATTCGTTTTCACTTCCTTTGTGGCCTGGTCGCAGGTGGGTTGAAAACGGAGCAATCGTCAGCCGTAAATTTGAAATGTCTGCATATGCAGCCTAGAGGCTTTGTTTGGTTGGCGTCTAATTTGCAAGACTGGCGGATAAGGCAAAGAAAGGACATAAGGCCCGTCGAGGATAATAGCGACATTTAAAGAAAAAAAATATTGGCGGCTGGATTGAGAAAGAGAAATTATAAATTCAAATAAAATAAAACATGCTCGGGATATAAAGGCAGACAATAGGGTATGGAGTGAGAAAGAAAAAAAATGGCAGAACCAAGGAGAAACGAAGAAAAAAAAAGGGGAATTTATTTTCCTCGTTTTTTTTTCCTGATAAAAATTTCCCACACTTTATATGATGATACATAGAGAAAAATGAAGGACGGTGATATCACGTTAAAACCCCGGTTCTCATACGATCATCGAAGTTAAGTAATCTTCGAGCTTGGTCAGCACCTAGATAGGTGACCGCTTAGAAATAACAGACACTTTAAGGTGATGGTAGTGCAGTCGATAACGGCTCAGAATTGGAGACTGGAAAGCCCACTTGAAGGTGCTGGTGGTACAATCCATAACGGCTCAGAATTGGAGACTGGAAAGCCGGATCTCATCTCCAGTCGAATTCGTTATTGATCAATTAGTTTTTTACGGTTTATCAACTTTTTGAAGGTTATTTAATGCCAGAAAATATTCTTAGAGGTAAGAATTTGTGGGTAGATAATAACAGTTTAGTGATACATGTATTACTAATTAACCCATAGTTGGGGGAGAAAAGTTGGTTTCATACCTTTCCCTCATTCAAATATTAGTTTAATGCCTCTGAAATTTGATGCAAACTATTTTCTTTTTTCCATATATGTGGGATTCAAAGAATCGCCTAAAAATTGGTTGATGCCTAAAAACTAATTTCCTATATCACTTCTGGCCAGAAGGACTTTCTCTCCTTTACCATACATTCAATAATAGTAGTAAAAATAATAATGAAATTGACTAATTCTCGTATAAAGTTTCCTTAAAATGTTATATATTTTGCCTAATTAACCCTGCTTAGGCCTGGTGGATTATAAAGTTTAGGTAACGCCCTTTCTAAAAAAAAAAAAAAAAAAAAAGTTGATGCCAAACACTAGTAGATTAAATAGTTTCAGCAGACTAGCTTTGTAAGAGTTAAGCTAAAGAAGGCATAAAACTTGCTATTTATTAAATCCTGAGCTAATCATTTGGCTTATATACAGGGTGTCCATAAATTATGTGTATAGTTTTAAAACTTTTAAAATATGAAAAAATAATTCAGTGTTTGTTGGAAAACATAGGTAAACAAATGCAGTTTTATTTAAATATATCGGAATATTTCAACATTGTCTCAATTGGTTGCACGCAAAACATGGAGACGCGATGCTCAGTTTATGTTTCTACAACATACTTCCATTTCCATAAACTTCTTCTGCCAGGCATGGATTCTAAGATGATCTAGTGTTTTTATATATAATTTTATTTATAATTTTATATATGATTTTATATATAATTTTATATATAATTTTATTTATAATTTTATATATGATTTTATATATAATTTTATATACAATTTTATATATAATTTTACTTATAATTTTAGGCATAATTTTATATATAAATTTATATATAATTTATGTACAATTTTATATATAATTTTATTTATAATTTTATATATGACTTTATATATAATTTTATATATAATTGTACTTATAATTTTATATATAATGTTATATATAATTTTATATACAGTTTTATATATAATTTTACTTATAATATTATGTGTAATTTTATATATAAATTTATATATAATTTACCTATAATTTTATATATGATTTTATATATAATTTTACTTATAATTTTATATATAATTTTATATACAATTTTATATATAATTTTATATATAATTTTACTTATAATTTTATGTATAATTTTATATCTAGATTTATATATAATTTACTTATAATTTTATATATAATATTATTTATAAGTTTATATATGATTTTATATATAATTTTATATATTATTATATATAATTTTTTAATTTTATATAATTTTATTCATAGTTTTATATATAATTTTTATATATAATAATACTTAAAATTTTATATATAATTCTATTCATAATTTTATATGTAATTCTTTCTTTTAATTTTATTTATAAATTTTATATATAATTTTGCTTATAATTTTATATATAATTTTATTTGAAGAAAATTTAAAATGAATGAAAAATCATTTATTTCATTCATTTTAAAATGATAATTTCATTTATTTCATTCATTTTTAATTGCATTTAAAACCTTTTGTTTGTTTTTTCCAAATTTTCTTCATTCTGTCGGATTTATATCCATTTACATTTGCTTACATAATTTTATTTATAATTTTACTCATAATTTTATATATAATATATATATTTAATTTTATTTATAATTTTAATCATAATTTTATATATAATTTGTACTCTAATCCTGAATCTCCGAATAGGTCACGATGACATAGATGTCCATTACGTTTTCTTTTTTATTGTTGTCATTTTCCTTAAAAGTCAAAGATTAATTAACAATTTTAACATCTTCCTGAAACTAAACGAAAGTGAGTTATAAACGAACAAACGATATATAAATTAAAACTTTAATAATATTTCTTTAACGTGCAATGTAATATATTGATTGATACAATAAATGGTGGGTGTTGTGCAGACAATTTACAGACACCCTTATCTGGAATCAGACGTAATCATTTACCAATGAGTGTTGCTAGGCATCGGGGATTCCAATCTTGTGGCAGCACCTTCCTCATTACACTAAAAAAGTTGACAGCGTAATACCGATGTCAGCGTGAAAGTGTTCGCAGGGGTTGGGCCAAAATAAATTTTTGTACTTGACTCATATGCATACGCATGCGTATGGTACACCCCACGTTAAAACGACCTTGTGTCACATGCAGCCTTGTTGGGGAGGCCGATTAAATATAAATATGTGTGTGTTTGTGTGTGTTTTTTTTCCGTGTGAGAGTAAAATTTCGGGTATAATTAAATTATATATCAATAAAAAATATATGAATAAAGACAAAATGAATACTTAGCTCAGCCGACGCATTTTGTCCTTTGATAGACTTTTTCAATGCAAATCTAAGATCTTGCATTTGCCTTGAGAAAGTCCATCAGACGAAGAAACGCGTCGGCTAAGCTAAGTTTTCATTTTGCCTTTATTATTCATATATATATATATATATATATATATATATATATATATATATATATATATATATATATATATATATATAAATGCTTTCTGCGTTCTGTTGAGGTTTCTTCTAGACTCGATGAATTACTTAATTATAATTATTTCAAATCCTCCTAATTATTTCTATCACTTGTATATCCTTGCTTGAACCGGCTTCTAATGCTCTGGATGGAGCGGCTCGTGGGAGGCACTGTCTTATGGGTAAAGAAACTCGGATGAGTTGCACCACGGAATAAATGACCGAGTAACGCTATTTCGAGTCTGATTTGCTACCCCCTTCATCACCGAGGCCCGTTGGTACAGTTGGTATGACGTTTGCCTGATAATATAACTGCCTGGGTTTCAATTCTCGGTAGTGGATGCGCACTGCTGATGAGTCCCAAATATAGGAGTGCTTTCTGCATTCTGTTGAGGTTTCTTCTACACTCGATGAATTACTTAATTATATATATATATATATATATGAATTACATAAAAATGAAACTTAATTGTACACC